ACAAACACCGTCTTAAGTGAAACAATTTAATTGTAGTTCTTTCTTCTTTCCCTCCTCCACACACAGAGAGAGCCTACAGAGAACAATACCCGAACAGCGATAAAACAAGAAGTGGCCGCTGCAGCACTATAGACATAGGGCGCGTACCCTGAGAAAATTTTAATTTTTAAAAAATTTGGAAAAAGAAAAAGAACAAATTTTATAGACATTTTAACTTGAATTACAGTTTTAAAAAAGTGCCAATTTTAGAAATGAAATTAACGCGTGTAGGTTAACAAAGATTTTATACATACAATTAGAAAGACTGGTGATTTTAAACTACGGGCAGTGTAGCAGCTACATAGGAATACACACCTGATGATGGCCATTTAGGGCCGAAACATGTAGTGTGGAGGAGGGAAAGAAGAAAGAACTACAATTAAATTGTTGCACTTAAGACGGTATTTGTCTCATATATAAGATGAAGAACTGTGTGTTTGCTTCATAGACTGGCAGAAGGCATTTGACCATGTAAACTGGACCAAATTAATGCAGATCCTAAAGGAAACTGGTATCGATTGGTGTGAAAGAAGATTGGTACAGCAAATGCCTTACCAAGAAAGCTCTGGATGGGCTCAGAGACTTCAAATTAGGAGGACAAATTATTCAAACTGTGAAATATGCAGATGACCTTGTGTTAATGGCTAAGGAAGAAACTGTGCTACAGGGCATGATTGATAGACTAATTGAAATTGGAAGGTGCTATGGCATGGAAATGAATGTGGAGAAAACAAAAGTAATGAAAATTTCGAGACAACCAACCCCAGTCACAATAAAGATAGACCAAAAACAAGTGGAGAATGTGAAATGTTTTAAATATTTGGGTAGCTTGTTAACAGATGATGGAAGGTGTACTTGTGAAATTAAATCCAGGATTGCCATGGCAAAAGCTGCATTTAGCAAGAAGAAGAATCTTTTTACCAGCAAATTGGACTTAAATTTGAGGAAGAAACTAGTGAAATGCTACATTTGGAGCATAGCTCTGTATGGGGCTGAAACATGGACACTTAGGGCAGTAGATCAGAAACATCTGGAAAGTTTCGAAATGTGGTGTTGGAGAAGAATGGAGAAGATCAGTTGGACCGATTATGTGAGAAATGAAGAAGTGTTAATTAGAGTCAGTGAGCAGAGGAATATCCTACATGAAATAAGAAAACGGAAGGCTAATTGGATTGGTCATGTTTTACGCAAAAACTGCCTTCTAAAAGAAGTTATTGAAGGAAAGATAGAGGGGCGGATAGAAGTGACAAGAAGTCGAGGAAGAAGACGTAAGACGATGCTGGATGACCTTGGGGACAGAAGAGGATACTGTCATTTGAAGGAGAAAGCTCTATATCACATTAAGTGGAGGAATTGTTTTGGAAGAGACTGTGGACCTGTCATCTGACAGATTACTTATGATGACGATGATGATGATGAGATTCATATTATGGGTGGAAGAACAGTTTACACGCTCAATTTTATACATAACGCCATATTTTGATCTATATTCCATGTTACGGCAGCTACGTAAATGACGTCACTCTTAGGTGTGCGCAATGAACTACTGCTCATCCACCTGTAACTCAGCGGTACCATTCGGTGATGTTAGGGTTAGGTTAGGTTTGCCAGTAGACTACTTCTCATCCATCTGTACCTTGGAGGGGGCGAAGCTCGGTATTATACGTTAAAGTTAGGTTGTGGGTGTACATTATGACAGGTGTGCGCAAATGACTACTGCCCATTGTTATGCTCATTTTGGGTCCTGTTTGGCCGTCGGCAATATCTTACTATTGAATATGTCTGATATCGTAGGAGATCGTTTTATATTTATACAGGGCATTTTATTTCCGAATTTTCTCACATGATAAACTCTTGCATATATTTTTCTGTTTACTGCAGCATCAGTGAGATCTAGGGACTGTAATGCCAATACAAGTAGACAAACCAAAACAGTTCTCTCACTGCTAAGCTTAATGTCACAGGCTACATAAGACACTTCAGTGTTGAAGATAATGAGCAGTAGGTGTTGATAATTCTTTCATGGTTATACTATCTCATAATATATATAATAAATATAACGTGCAATAGGAATCTAGCTGCAGAGCACTGACCAAATCCACTCACAGCAGACAAAGTGGAACCTGATCCATGGGTTCAAATGATTTACTGCTTGTGAAAGGGTTAGAAACTTAGGATAATAAGTTTCACAGAGATTGAACATCTTGTAAAACCAGATAATTCTAAAATGTTAGTTACTAGTGCAGTTAAAGCACACAAATTTTTCAGAAAACTGAGATGTGGTTTTGTAATCTGTATTATAAGTTGTCCTGAGACAATGTGGTATTATATGTAGGTCTTAGTATTCCACGATAACCTGGAGAACAAATCACACAACAGAAAAGGGGAAAAAACAATTCACACAGTATTTTCAGGTAGATAATTAAATTGTAACGTCTATTTAGTGTTCCTTGATTTAAGGTTTTTCTTCATTTAATGTTCAATTCAAATGATGCTACATCAATAATCTCAGTAGTAAATTTTATTTATTTAAGATTTCCCTCAAGTCCTCATATCCATTGCTCACCAAAGACACCTTACGGGGGGGGTCACTGTATTTTGTGTCTTATATTGTAACCAACTTAAAGGCATTACATAGTAACATAAACACAATACAAATATTTTAATTGAGTGGCACGTGAACATACACATACAGGCCTATGTGACATTCTTACATGTACAATTATACCAAATAAATTCAGTTCCCACTCTCTGTGACACCATGGAATCCATAAATTATAACTAGGTTAAAACTGCTGTTTACATTCATGTACATCATACATCCTGAACAACCTGATTTATAGCAATGGAAGAATTCAGAGAAGATGAACACTGAAGCAGAATAATTCCAGGGTGACAAATTTGTACAACTTAACCCTTTTTGCTGGAATTCAACAGCTAGATGATCTGCCTGGAAAGACCTTTACAGTACCAGTGATGAATTCTTCTTGGTGTGTGTTCATGTCAATCTTCATTTGTATTTACTAAACTAAGCACATGTCATGAGTTCCACAAGGCAGCTGTATGAAACATAAGAGTTAGGTTATGTGAAAATGTGAGTATACATCTATGCAGCACAGAATAGACATCATTTTGTCCAGTGATTCAGATTTGAAATTCAAGGCAAGGGATTAACCTGCCAGTGGTACAGTGGGGTTTGCCATATCCAGAGGTAAATATTTATCCTAAATGTTACATGTCACCAGAACCTATGCTGTGGGTCTGTGTAGCACAAGCTAAGCTCTACAGAATGTCAGTGTTTTCAAAAGACCAGTGAGCCTTCACTGGTTGCATGTGAGAAGATCACTTTGATTTCTCACACCCTGCTACACCACTCCCGAGGTAAGACCCTGGTGGAGCTTATTTCAAATTTTATTGGTATTTTTATGTTATGTTTGTACTGAAACTTTTCCGAATGCTGTCAATTTTTAGTATTGCATCTGTATTTGTTGAATTCACAGATGGATCCACATGAAGGTGAAGCTGAAAGAATGACAAGGATGGATAAGGGGCTGAAACTACAGAGGTACCACAGAATGAAAATGACCATTATGATAACAATTTTACTCAAAGTGATCATGACACCAAGCCCAAGACTGGAGATGTCAACAAAAAATGAAGAACTGGAGGACATCATAAATGATGCAGAAGCAAGAAATTATTTCTTAAGAAAGGATAGTCTCATAAAGTAGAGAAATCAATGTCCTTGCATTAATGTAAGAAGTCAGACCCAAAACATCATTGGTGTTGGAAGTATTTAGAAAGAGCACAACTTGATTTCACTTTAAACTACATAATCTTCATTTTGATGACAGTCATCAATGCAGGAAGGTTGTCAACAAAATGACTCATACTCATGGTGTTTTTTAAGAATTTCTTTAGAGCTGTATAAAGCAATGAATAGTTTTGGGGGGAAAAATTGATGTTAATTTATGAATATGTACCTTTAAATTTATTAATTGTACATGAAAATTTTTAAAATTGCACACATGTCCATACTGAATTTATAGTATTACAAAATATTTCTGAAGGTTTTTAGATTTAATTTTAAAGATTAATCCATCTCAAAAATATAAAACCTAATTCTGCACACTTTTATACTTGATTATCTTTCAAACAAAACTACTTTTCATGCTACATGACAAAAACTTTCAAGCAATAAATGCTGTATTAAGAGACACACAGAGTACTTCCAAAATGTGTACCCTAAATGAGGGACTGATATTCAGTATCCAAATTATTATTCAATTCATCTTGCACCCAGTCTTATTCTTCTCTTCCTTAATGCACCATCAGCTTTAGTTTACCCTACTGTGATTCTCCCCTCTCCTTTCCCTGCCACCAACGTCTGTTAATGTTCTGTGCACTCTACCCCTCAAACGGCATATCTATTACCTTATTCTGTCTATCAGCCAGTGCTACACTCTGGGCCATTATGGCTCAGAATTATCTACTCTTGAAAATGAACGTTTTAAGGGCTTTCTTGCACTGTTTTCCACACACCTACAGTTCACTCATGACCCTGGCCCAACCCTTCTTCTCCTTGTTATCATCTGCACCACTTTTTCCATGCTTGGCTTACTCTTTTACTGTGAGGACAGATGCAGGACATTCCCTTGAAACCTTAACAAACATCTACCAGACTGATTCTAAAGGTTTTGACAATAGTGCTTAGCATTCAGAATTACTGGGTTTTTGGACTTGGTCCATCATCTGGTATTCTAAATCCAGTGATTGTGGTTAGCTCTTTCTAAGGGACTAGGTGTCTCCCCTCCCTCACCTGAGGACAGAAGCAGATCCAGTTTCCAAAAAGTTGTATTCTCTAGTTTCTACAATACCAGGCGACTGACATGGTCTGAAAACCCAGTAATTCTGAACCTACTAGACTACACAGCATCATATTCCAGAAGAGAGTATTGTTTGAAAAGTGCTCCCATAGTACTGGAACTGTATGTGCCATTATTCATTAAATACTACATCGTGCTACTGTACATGACGCATATTGCCAGTATGTTGTCCATCTGCAGTTTACAGTGAGGTGTCATATGCTGAGCCTGTAGTACAAGACGGTTCTTAATTTCTGCTAGCAGCATACAACACAGCTGTAGGTAATGACATAAAATTTGCAGAAAACTTATTGGTTAGATTTCATATATTATATTAAAATGAGAGGAAAATATTTGAAAAAACAATACAAGCAGGCGTGCATACACACTTATATGAAAACTCTGTATTTTAATATACACATTTAAAAATCACATGATTTAATATTTGCACAAAGTGTCCAGGATGAAATCAATATAAAAATAAATTGTGCCTGATACTTATTGCTCATATTTTCTGAGATAATTACCAGGCACATAACCTTTCTCACCAAAGCGGTCTTCTACAAACCACCATTCTGGATTACCCTGGATGTCTTGCTGTTGTAGAACAAGTACAATTTGGCCACTCTTTACACTCAGCATATGCATCCCACTGCCTTCAAAATCATATGCAGCATAGAAAAACTGTGAAATAAGGGTAAGGAAAATTACAGATGTGACTCCATCAGTTGGAAATTTGTGACTGAATTTAAATTAAATATCTAATGACCAAAAATTGCTCTGAAACCTACATAAAACAAATCTTGGAAAAACTTGAACAGAAGTCATAACAAGTGAACATCTCCAATTAATTGCCAAATGATTAGCTGCTGCTCTAATTGGTTGATTAAATCTACCTTCAAAATGAGTAAGTCAAATGTCTACAATTACAGCCGCCCCCCCAAAAAAATTCAAGAGCTAGAAATTATACTTAGTTCTAGGATGCCAACTTTAGCACATAGAGGGTGTCGCGTGGTCAGTGAAACAAATCCCCATGGCTATTAATTTCGGTTTTCTAGACTGGAGCTGGTATTTCCTTGAAATGGCTTCTCAATTATGATCACGAGGCTGAGTGGACCCCATTCCAGACCCACTACTTCTCAGAAAATCTGGTAGTGCCGGGAATCGAACCCGGACCTCTGAATCTGTAGCCAGGAACTTCGACCACTAGACCACAGAGGCAACTTACTTCGCCGGCAAGCGGATGTTGCTCAGTGAAAATAGTTCGCTTGTGGACTAAAACCACGGAGTTTGTTTGTTTTGTTGTTCTAGGGTAGCTGCCTCTCCAATTTAAATGGTAACTTCTGCTAACTTTGGCTCCGCTCAGCTCACTTCGGTTTCGCTCGGCACGTCACCGCAGGGAGAGTGGCAGGGTGATGACTCGTCTATTACGCGAACGCTATGTTACCGCCACGTGCCGCTGGGGAGGTAGGGGTCAACATGTCACAATATCACAAAAAGACCGAGTATGACATTCAAGTAGAAACTACTGGAAATACTTCACTGAAGCAAGCAATTTGAACCACTTCCTTGGCAACACAAAAATTAAAGTAGGGCTGCCACTGTGCGTAAGCACAACACTATGCTGGAATATATAAAATTTTGTATGTTCTTAACCCAAGCTCTTCAAAGAGGGGAGTGTTCTGCACCATGCTCTGGCTGTCTCAGTCCTGGAGAAACAGCCCCTGGTACCCAATCCATCAGTCTCAGAATCAGTCTGGACATGGTGGTTAGGAAAATAGCAGGATCTGAACCCCAGGTGCTGTATCAGTAGTCACTATCACTGAATGCAATTAGAAGTGATAGAGTAGAGCAAACCTACTCAATGAAAGGCAGCTACTACACAAGCAGTTATTTATATGAACTTTTAACAAAAACATACTCACCCCTGGTGCATTTCCACTTCCAATGTTGGGAACATTTTCATAAATGCTTCTTGTCTGAAAAAAAAAAAAAAAGCACAAGTGAAGTCTTGCACCAGATTAAATAAAAGGGGAAGATGCTGAGTACAAAGCAAATGCTGATATTTTCATAAGGATGAAGATTTTTTGTACCTTTAAACATTATGAAATTTTTTAATGGATATCTGGAGGGAACAGATTTTCTTACACTAAACCAAGGTTTTAACTAAATGGGTGTTAACAAAAACACATCTAACAACTGTTCAGTTTCTCATATGACTATAGTTGCATGAGTGAGAAGCCTCTGCGTGTGTCTCATTAGAGGGAAAGATCGAGACCCTGCTTCTCAAACATTCTAGAGCCACTGGCTGACAATGAAAATTAAGTCGCCCAAGAACCATTTTGAATGTTCCTAGAGTGTGGCTGCATCCATAATAGCAGTCAGAGCAATCTGAGTGAGCCTCAGCCCAAGCTTAGAAGAGTGGAGTGCAGATGTGTGGACGGAAATTAGAAGTAGTGTTTGTGGTAAATAATAGGTTATTCCAGTGCAGAGACAAAGACAGGACAGAGCAGAGGTGTTTCTGTGTAATCATAGTGCATCAATACAATCAGTGGTTTAATCATGAGACAACTGTTCCACATAATGACAAATGTTACAACTGTTGTCAGAATTCAGAATGAAGATGGATCCAACACTGATGACAATTTTGGAACAACTACAGGAACTTAAGATGGGCATAAGACAATCTGGCAGCCAGCCAGGAAGAACTAAAAGGGACATCTAAGCAAGCCAAGACAATTTGGTGGCCTACCAACATACTAAAAAGGACATACATACCTGCCAAGAGGAACTAAGAAGCAAAATAAGTAACATGAATGCTGAGCAAAGCAAATTTGAAGAAATGATGACATGCCAGATAGATAGTTGATGGGTGTAGGGCATAGCGTGTAGACCCACTGCTGGGTAACAGTTGCAAAACGATGCCTGTTTCTAGGGCAGCAGATTCTTAATAAATGGGATTATGCAACCTAACTAATAATAACGTTACAAATGATATAACAATTCCGTCCACTGTGACTGTTGAAGCTTTTACTACTTCACTTTTTAGCACCCTAACATGTTTTGGTCCCTACAGACCATCATCAGAGGGAACACCGATACTTTCTGAAACTACTATTACATTGGGTGTTTTGATTTTTAAAATACATAAATATGCAATATTTGTAATATATACTTTATATAAAATCCAAATTTCTTACAACTACAGCAACTGTCCTTGACGCATTAAAGTTTTTTTAAAAAAGTTAAAATTCTTTAACTGAATAGGTTCATGTCCCTTGTCCTTTCGTTTTTCTTGACAGGGCCGAACTTGTGCCGCCTGTCTTTCTTGGGAAGGTAGTTCTTGTTGTCATCCTATGTTTGTGTTTAGTGTGCTACACACAAACATAGGAAGTTCGGCCTCGTCAAGAAAAACGAAAGGACAAGGGACATGAACCTATTCAGTTAAAGAATTTTAACTTAAATAACAAAAAGTTCTTAAAAAACTTTAATGCATCAAGGACAGTTGCTGTAGTTGTAAGAAATTTGGATTTTATATAAAGTATATATTACAAATATTGCATATTTATGTATTTTAAAAATCAAAACACCCAATGTAATAGTAGTTTCAGAAAGTATCGGTGTTCCCTCTGATGATGGTCTGTAGGGACCAAAACATGTTAGGGTGCTAAAAAGTGAAGTAGTAAAAGCTTCAACAGTCACAGTGGACGGAATTGTTATATCATTTGTAATAGTGTTAGTGTGATGGACCAGAATGAAACAAATCAAATTAATAATAACAGCTTGGTAAACACGTTCCCCGGGCAATGAATATTCATGCAACAGGAGAGGAATGGTGTTGCCTGTGTAGTCTGTGCCAAGAAGTTATGACCAGGACAGTTAGGGCAATGGGTCAGCTGAGTTCTGCAAGGTAGGCTGTGAAGATTTGGTGCTATAACTAAGTTGACAGTTCGATTGTGGAGTGTTAACCAGTGGGCAACAACGTGACAACAGAAGCTGAAGAATCTCAATTGCTGAGATTTGTTGCAAGGAAATGAACAGTGAAAGCAGACTGAGAAGACTTAAGATTGTGTTGATTTGTAGTGTGGAAATCAGTGATAAGTGTTATAAGTTAATGGTGGATGGTTGGGACTATGCCCCCCCCCCCAGGAGGAAGAAGCTGAAGGCTGGACACCATCTGGAGTGGAAGGATATTCCTGACTGCACCCCTCTATACAAGAGGGAGGACAAGGATGGGGCTATACAACAGTAAAACTGGTTACATGTGAAGAACAGTGTGGAAAAGCAGTGTCAACAGTGTGACATCCATGCAACATGCTGAAGCCCCTGAATGTGGGGCTTGAGGTACCAGTGTAACACTGGCACACTGTTCAAGGGGATCACTACTGATGTAACAGGACCCTATCCAGAGAACCATAGGGGAAATCAATACCCCCTGATTGGCATGGGATACTTCACCCAGAGGTTGGAAGTTGGCCAGCAACAGGATAAAGGCCCATATGACTGCCCAGCCAACTCTGTGGCATTCTAGGAAACAGACTAAACCTCTGGTTGTACTGCTTGATCCAGACTAGTGGAAAGTCTTCTAAGTTGCAGCCATGCTGGGAGGGAACCCAGATCAACAATGTAGGCTACAGGATCCACCATCACCCCATAGCAAAGATGACAGTGGTGCCATATCTAGGTGCTACTGGAGATGAAAACCCTTGAGGAAGGGGAAATGTTGCACATATATGCATCTTGTTTGAAGGAAAGACCAACATCCCATTTCTTGGAGATTCTAGAACCATCATTGACAATAAAGTTGCAGCATCGGGAATATTCCCCAAGTAGGGCTGTGCTGATTGAAGCAGATGGAACAGTTCAAGTGAGTGAGTGAGTGAGTGAGTGAGTGAGTTTCAGAGTCGGTCAGAGGCACTAGAGTACAGCCATGTCTAAAAACATAGAGGATATAGTGCATGTTGTGAATCTCAAGTTTAAGACAACAAGAAAAGGACAGAGCAGTGGTATGACAGTGCAATCGTAATGGATCAAGACATACCGAAACCAAAATCTTAACTGTACTGACAGCGAGACATTAAATATTCGAAATAATGATAAACATTACCGTATATAAGTACGATGAAAGACATTCTTTATATAAGTAGGTGGAACTGTTTCTACACTAATAAATAGAATTATACAATCAACCCTAATTTCCAAAATAATAAAACATGAAATAAATGCTGAGACCTCAGTTGAGAATCAATGCCACTATGATGCAATAACCACCATGGATGCTGCCCATGAAATGTAATGTCACTCACCAAACATTACATCTGTGCAGCAACAATTTCTGGAAGAGAAAAACTAGAATGTCACATCACAATCATACCATAATCACACTAAATTGACATATCAGTTCTGAAGGGTCACATATCTTTTACACTAAGTGTAGGTTATTTCCTAATTGAAATTCACTAATGTGGGAACATTAGAACAGAATTTCACTGTACCTCAATAAACTGAAAGAAAATGAAGTTAACATTAATTTCAGCAGTTGGTTTTAATGTGTTAAAGTATGTTTGAAATCTATAATGTAAGTGAACAAAATTGCACTCACAGCTGATTCTGGTATTTCTTCATAAATGTGAGTGTCCTTTTCATGTTCTCTGGTGCTCTGATATTCACGCTCTGAAGCAGCTGAAGCTCTTGACCTTTCTAACCGAGGACTAGAATCAGCAGATGATACAACTTCATCATATGAGGGCGGTGGTGGCTCCAGCAGTCTTGGTGTAGGAGAATGTGTCCCTACTTGTGATTTTCTTTGGTCACGACTTCGGGACCGTTCTTGTGATGGCACATCATCATTTGTACTACCAGATGGCAGATTGGTTGGACCAGCAGAATGGATCCCTTGATAGAGCGGCTCTAACGAGCTGTTAGGTACAAAACCTTTTGTTACTAGAAAAAGGAATTCATACATTTTAACCATTTTATAACATGGTAATGAACCTTCTTATTTCAAGAAAGGCATGGAATTTTTTGTCCAGCTACATGACTATCCATTCCATTTATTTCACTTTCTAATTGATCCTGATACAGACATAAAACAAGCCACAGGATATAGAATGAGTCACAAGATCAAAATTTAAGTTACAATAATTAAATGAAACATGTCAAAAACAAAAAAACAAAACAAACATACATGCAAACAATTATAAAACATAAAGCGGACATACATAAACAAATTTACATCGGATACAATAAATATCAAAATTCTAATTCTGGTTCACTTCATTAATAAAATTGACAAAGACAATAATCCAATACAACAATTGATAACAGTAAACCAGATACAATATAAACAAGCTGTATGCTAAGGCATGAGTCAAAGTTATAAAAATTCATTATATAATATAAAGTTTATAGTAATATTTCATCAAAACATAAAATTATATTCATCTAATTCATTCTATATATCAGGTAAAATTCCAATTCCATAGATCCATCTGTAGGATGAAAGCGTCAATGTCATCCTTAACACCAAATTTCACCATCAAAGAACTCCTTCAATGAATAAAAGGAATTCAATAAAAGATAATNTTAATCACAGAACATACTAATAAGCAGCTCCACAAGAATGACCCTGCTTCACAGAGTTGGTTATACATATTTCTGACTCCTAGTAACCGTTTGAACCTAGAAATTCATCTAAAAAGTAAAGTAAAGGCATCCCTGTAACATGTCGTGGAGGCCCATAAGGTTGTGAGATGTTGAGGTTTCCACATTTTCTAGACAATTGCCTCATAGGTGTGGCAAGGTTGTCATCCTTACATGCCAGCCACCCTTTACTCCCAGGAAGGTTCCTGGTACTCATTTCTGTTAGAGGCTGAGTCGATCCCAGGGCCATAGTGCAGCTGGAAGGATTAGGTCAATTGAAAAAATCCAATGACCTCATCGGGACTTGAACCCGTGACCTCCTGGCTTGTAGCACAGTGACTCAACCAACTACACTACTGCGTGCCCCAGAAATTCATCTAAACATTTAAAAATTCAATTCGTATCTAACAGAAAATGCAGTGCATCTCCATTAGAAACACCAATTATGTAATGCTGTACAGGGAAATAGTAACTGTTTATTCTGAGAATCATATGGAGGACATAAATACACAGTGTGCACACAATACCAAGTTTTTAATGATAAACAAAGTTGTGATACAGCAATCACAGTACTTTAATCCTTCAGTGTCATTACATGCATGTTAACACCAGGTATTTAACTGACCTACTTGTGGTTTCACATACAGTGTATAATCTACTGCAACCTTAATTTATCTGCCCTCTAGATGAGGAATGAAATACTCTGTTGAAATGGAGTTTGCATCAAGATATGATGAAATAAATTAGCCCTCTATTTATGTACCAATGACCTTAGTTACTGTGCAGCTGACAAGGCAAAATTCTAATCTAAACATCTGACACCACAGTCAGAGAAGCTGTAAATGAAGTTCTGGATGATGATATTATGGGTTGAAGTAATTTTGGTGATCACTGTGACTTGATGATGATTAGCCAATTATGCAGTGACAGTGACAGTGACAGTGTAAATGATGGTGACGAACAAAGAACTGTGACACATGTTGAACAAGACGTAGGAATCAGAGGGCGGTCAATGAAGTTTGTGTGGCACGATATCAGCACTCTGTCCGTAGCATGGAAAATATTTCATTGTTTGCAAGGCCCACAGTTCAACACATCTAATTTGGATGTGGTGAACATACCTGAACAAATTTCTGAGCTAACAGTAAATAAAATCAAAAAATATGAACAGTGGGAAATTCTGAAAACTTCTGGTGCTCTTGCACTTCACTGAGGAATTGGGAAGTGGCAAAATGTATGTAGCTTTAGCTATATTTATATGCGCTCCGTTTATTTTAGAAACTCTTTGTCATTGGAAAGAATGGCACTAATATAAAAATTTAAAACGAATTAATTTCAAGGCTCTCCCACACTTTTCAAGACATAACCAGTCATTCAGCATCTGAATAACAATTCCAAAATATGTACCTTCCAAACCAGGATCCAGCTACAGACAAATCTTTGACTCTGTGGAAGGGCCACCTACTGTTCAGGAAAACACATGCTACTTAAGGCTACCAACTTTGGTAGAGTCACTTTAACTCTGTAAACCTAGCACAGGCCAATTTTGGTGTTTCATTACTTATACAGGTCATGGAACGGAAATGTGAACGCAGACAAACAAAAATCACCAATTGTCATGGTGCTCGTGGAGCACCTTGAGCATGCCCAGATTTTCTGGAAGGACTGTCTAGATCTGGCCCAATTCCTGAAATCCAAAGCCACAGACTGTAGAGGCACTTTTTCTACCAACAGGAAAAATGCCCTCCCATCATATAGGATAAAAACCTGAAGAAGGGAGAGCACTGCCGATTCCTAGCAGGATAAGAGAAGGGATGCTAAGATTCTGACAAAAACAAAAAAGAAATGCAGTCCAAAATAGATAAAGGAAATACAGAGGAGAGGAAACCTGCAGTTGTGTATGACTACAATCAGAACATGGGAGCAACTGATTTCAAACATCAGCCACTAAAACGTTATATGGTTGAGTGAATGAAAGGTTGTGGTACATAAAATTATTCAAAATATCACTCAATGCTGCTATACATAATTCCATGATAATATAGCAGCCCATGCCAAACAATAAGGAAAGAGACCCTTCTTCTCATAAAGGGTCTCGCAGAGAAATACAAGACTGTTGTCCCTCACCCTACATATGGCTGTCCTTCAACCAAATCACCTCCAAAGAGACCGACTGAATGTAATTTCCTACAGCAAATTCCTAACATAGGAAAGAAGGCTAAGTCAGAGTAGATGCATCATGTGCTCATAACATAGAAAACGAAGGCAAACAATTTATTGGTGCAGTATATATGAAGTAGGCTTATGCTTCAAAAGCTTTCATAAAGATCTTCACTTCTAATATGGCTGACTTCTTCATGCATACACAGAATGTTCAGTTAATAAGGTAAGACATTAACCTATAATCTGTGGTTTAACTTAGACCAAAGGTTTCCGAAGTATGAGATCCTCTTCCATTACAGACTTCTTATTGCTAAGATGTACAAATACTTCAGTGATTGAGTACAACATGCAAACGTTTCACTTCCATACATAATACATATATCCTGTAACATTCACTATGTGTAATCATTACAGTCCGGTATCAAGTACTAACAAGTGGGGTTTCCTAAACCATCAAATAATGCATAAATTTTTAATGGGTGTAAAAAGAAAATCAGGCCATTAACCTACAGCAAATACTAGTCAGAGTTTTTTATACTGAAACCAAAATCATGATGATGAATTGTATTTGTCTTTCAGTTTCATGAGTGTTGTAATTAACAGCGAAGAAGAACCTCAGTGCATTTGATCTGTTTCTTAGCAGCTGACAGCATGAAGCCAAATATACTGAAGCAGCAACTTGAAACGAGACATTCAGAAATGAAGAACAAGCTTGAAGAATACTTCCACAGACACTTCATGAAATTTGCATCCAGAAGAACAGTTCTGTTGATATTATACTGTGGCATCTAAAGGCCTGCTAGCATCTTATCAAGTGTCATACAGAAAACCACAGAACAAGAAACCGCATACAAGGTGGTTCAAATCTGATCAGGACTGATTTTTTTTTAAAAACCATAATTGCCAAACACTTACTTGCACATGTCAGTCTTCAACGTACTACCCTCCAGAGTCAACACATTTTTTCCAACGTTCTGGAAGCATCCTGATGCCCTTTTCAAAAAATGCTTGTGGTTGGCAGTGTATCCTCTCCTGAACAGTCTGGATGACGGCGTCATCGTCCACAAACCTCCTGCCTTGCAAGTCTGATTTGAGCCTTCCAAACAGGTAGAAATCACTTGGGGCCAAATCGGGACTGTACGGTGGATATGTCAGAAGGTTCCATTTCAAATTCCGGAGGGTTTCCATTGTTGTTTTGGCCGTATGGGGACATGCATTGTCTTGAAGGAAGGCTACCTGCTTTCCACCTGTCTTCCGCTTGGATCGGATCTTTCCCTTCACGTCTGTTGCCAGGTCTGAGTAACAAGCTGCATTGACTGTTCTGGCATCTGTCACAAAGTCTATATGGATAACCCCCCTGCCAGTCCCAGAAGAACGCTGCCATCACTTTTCCTGCCGAATGGCTCCTCTGCGCTCTCTTGGGTTTGGGAGAACTGGTATGCCTTGCGTGATGACTGCTGGGACTTTGGAATGAAGTAGTTCACCCATGTTTCGTCAGTGGTCACTACAGACGTAAAAAATACATCACCTTTGTCTTCAAACTGATGTAGGAGATGACTGGCAGCTTGCATGCGCATCATTTTGTTCACATCCATCAAAGTGTGTGGTACCCACTGTGCATTCACCTTGCGATAGTGAAGGTGATATTTCACGATGTCTTCTACACTACCAACACTGATGGACAGCATTGCTCCAAGTTCCTTGATAGTGAAGCGCCTATTCCCACAAATAAGCATGTCTGCACGATCAATGTTTGGCTCGGTGACGGATGTTCACGGCCAACGATCATGTGGTTCATTCTCCATGCGTGCTCTGCCCTCTGTGAAGCGCTGACACCACTAAAACACACAGGTCCGTGAGATACACTCTTCCCCATACTGTTGTTGGAGCCTGTGGTGAATTTTAGCAGACAGGACATTTTCTCAAATGAGGAATTTGGTCACAATGCGTTTTTCCACGTTCCGCAGTACCTTCTGTTCGCTCATCACTCTAGCAACTCCCAGACAGGACTGAACAGGTTCTAACCCGAACAGGAGGGAGGGTGGAGGTTGTGGCTTCACACTCTCAAGGTCGCACAGCTGCTGCGCAGTATGACTTCTTTAGGCACAAATCAGTCCTGGTCATATTTGAACCACCTTGTATAATCAGATGTCAGTCGTGCAATGAATACTGAACTTGTGGTCATACTTGGAGGGATTACTTCCTAATTATACCTTCTAGTGAACAGTGAATTTTTAAAAAATTATATTCTGAAAGGCTTTCAGCGGTGGCCCATGTGCCAACACCATCAGGAAAATAAAAGAGGTCCAGTGTAGAACTGCTGAGCCAGTGGTTCAAGACCATGGCAACAAATGTCTTCACAGGTGAAAGGCAAAGGTTATTAAAAGTGTTTATGGAATGGATGGAGGGGGATGAAGAAGTTTGGAATGTTGGGGGTGAGTGCTGACTGTGAGAGAGATGATGGTGACTGTGAACAGAGGTGACAGGAATGGTGAAAACAGTGAGGCTGGAGAAGCTAAATAAAGGGTAGCAATTTTAAGAAGTATTTTTTTTTGGGATCAAAAGATTTTAACCTCTTTAGATGAGGGTTCTATTGTAAACATAGAGAAAGTTAAAAAAAATAATGTAACTTACATCCATCCTCAACAAACCACATTCTTGTGTCACCCAATGGATCATGTTTCTTGATCACAGCAACAATATTCCCTCTGCTAACTGTGAGTTCCACTGCTTCAGCTGCTGTGTATGGCACAGCAACACAGTACAGCATATCATGAGAGTATCGGCTCTGTAAATATGCTTGCTGACTGTGACTCTGAATCTGGTTGTGCTATGTACACAGACAGCATGAAGAAACAAATTCAATGAAATTAATACTTTTATTTCCTAATTATCTCAAGTATTGTAGGTACAAATAAATCTAATGTTTTAGTACTGAAACACAAGCGTAAAATAAAAAAAAAACACTTAAAGACGGTTTCTTTTTCAAGAAATACCAAAGGTAGTAAACTTCTGGTTATCCAGTATTCAAGGATCCAGAAAATTTATTCAGAAACAAATCTGAGACGCATATATGTTCACCCACTATGTGGTGGTATTATTAATATTAATATTATTATCACTAGTATTATTATTATGGTGCGGGTGGCAGTACTAAAAGTGGAAACCTCTAAAATTATCCATATTTTAAGAAATAAATGACTCTTCTAAGTGTGAAATATTTATTATCTTATTTTAATCTTTATTTAGCTTAAAATGCTTTTCATGGATCTCACCTGTACAATACATTTCACATCTAAAATCTGTGCTTTTAAAGGTAGGATCTACAAGCCTAGCAGTTCTTCAATATTTTCCAAATAATTAAATTAACTGTAAGAAATTACAGAAGAGGTCTGAGTATCAGAAACATAAAATTACAACAACAGAGAAATGTCTGAAAGGGTCTCAGAAAACAGTTATGGAAGAAGGAAAATGAAACATCACAAAAAGGCACAAGTTTTCAGGCTTTCACAGCATTGAGCGTTCAGATTGTGATTCCTGGGTTGTGACACCACATTGTATATAATGTGACAGCACTTCTGCGGATAGAGTGTCGCGTGGTAAGCACAACGAATTCCACAGCCATTAATTTCGGTTTCCTAGACCAGAGCCTCTATTTCCTTAAAATAGCTCCTCAATTATCATCATGAGGCTGAATGGACACTGTTCCAAACCCACTACTTCTCAGAAAAAATCTTGTAGAGCCAGGAATGGAACCCGGACCTCTGGATCTGTAACCAGGCGGTCTGATCACAGAGAGGGATAATGTGAAACCAATCTGGTGTTTTCCATCACTGGAATTAAATTTATTTGAATGAGTCAGTTCATACTGTCTGATGGACAATACTTACTTTGTTCAGTGTGTCAGATTCAAACTGCTTAGTAGCTGATGTGGGTGAAGTCTTTGAATTTCTCTTTGTTAATGTATCGGTTTTCACACTTTTGGGTGAAAAACTAAACCTTCCCAGCTGATTCCATACCAAACTATGCTTCACTGCAAATGATTCTATTGCATCACCTTGAGCAGACTTCATGAAGGGAGTCTACAAGAATAAATATTAAATTAGTTTAATTATAGCTGCCCTGCCAATAAGGCACTGGAAATAATGTCTCACAAGCATTAACTCTTTTTTATTTATTTTCTAAGCATCTAACTAACAACTGGTGCAGATGACAATATGCCAGTCAAACTCATGTCAACAGATTATTTTATATTTCACAAGAAAACTTATAAAAAACATTATAGTGAAGTTCAGTACACTGAGAACTGGAAGTGAAATTTTACAAGCACCTGCCCATTTCAATCACATTCACACTAGAAAGAAATATGAGTAAATACAATAGTGAAAACCTCTGCATCTTAAACTTTATCAACTTATATCAACAGCTAATATTCAAATAGATTTACACATAAAATTTACCTTATATTTATAATATTTATGACCTTAGAGAAATTATGCATTCCCAATCCTATAACCAACATGAAAATACAAATGTGTATATTTATTTTAATGCTCCCACTATGAGCTTCATGCCATCTGCTTCATTCATAAAGGTGAAGAAATCAAGACTGTAGTAATCTGGATTATGACAGCGAGCATTTTTCTTGGTGGTTGCCAGAGTTTCAGAGAAATGTGCTGCTTCTAGTTTCCTATCCTGAACATGGAGGATGCAGATTAATCTGAAATGTGGGCAACCACCTATGAAACTACAAGCTGTTATAACCCAGCAATGGCCATGAAAACCTCCACTCTCATCCAGGGAAGACTCAATTTCTGAGATGGAAGCACCCACAGGGCATTTACCCCCAGTGACAGGGTCACTATGGACTAAATGTGCACCAGGAACCATGGTAGGACTCCAGTGTTCATCATACACAAAATCCTGACTTTGTCAGATGTGAGGGAAGGGAAAGAAATGGAGGAAAACCAGTCAGATCCAAATAATTTCAAACAAGATCAGACCTCTGGCACAGGAGTCTGGTTATCTACCCTACTTTCCCAGGAAGGTTTGTAGGTTATTTATTTAGGCTGTTCAAAAATGACTGACACTCACTCCATAACTCTGGAAAAGTAGCAGTGTCAAATGTGAGCCGGTGTATGTGGAAGACATAATATAGTGCCGCCTATGGCCAAGAGATACTGCAACTGCACACAGGTCGAACAGTACTGCATCATTCGTGGAGGTGTACAGGTGCAGTCGTGGACAACGCTCAGACAACAAGGAAGCAAACAATCACGGGCAACAGTGGACTGTGAGGTTTCTCTGGAGGGAAGGAGTGGCAGCACCAAGTCACAGAACCATGTTTCGCTGGATAGCAGAGTTCAAAGACAGCAAGGACTGTGTGGAAAAAGACAAAAACAGTGGGTGTCCAGCAACGGCATGCACACCAGACAGTGCCCAGTGCATGTCTGACTTGATATTGGAAAACAGGCATATCACTTTCGACGAACTAGACAACGCAACGGGTTTGTCACACGGAACACTGCACACCATCATCCATCAGGATGTGAAGATGAAAAAGGTCTGTGCTCATTGGGTGCCCCATTTTCTCACCATTGTGCAGAAGCAGAAGCGTGTGGAGACATGCCAACAGTTGCTGCAGCTGTATAGCACAGATCCAGCAGAGTTCTTTGAGTTTCTAGTCACCATCGACGAGTCATGGTTCTGGCATGAGACTACAGAAAAGAAATGCCAGTCCATGGAGTGGAAGCACGCTGGGAGCCCTCCTCCCAAGAAGTCACGACCGGGACTATTCGTCCAGAAGCAAATGGCGACTGTGCTCTGGGATCAGAAGGAGGTCCTTCTGGTGGATTGGCTGCCCCCCAGTACTAACCATCGACAGTGATTGGTACTGCAATTCACTGCGCCAACTCCACCGACACGTTCAGCAACGAAGCCATGGAAAATGGGGGTGCAGCATTCTTCTCCAATACGACAATGCACAGCCAAATGGCAGTAGGGAGACCATTGCCACCCTGGCTGCTCTAGGCTACACCGTGCTGCCTCATTCACCATACTCGCCTAATCTTGCCCCTAGTGTCTACGCTCTATTCAATGAAATGAAAGACATCATGCGGGATAAGATGTTCACCTCCAAAAACGAACTTCAGGCAACTGTCCAGCAGTGGCACCGGGATACCCCTAAAGAATGGTTTGTTGTGCAAATATGGAAACTGCCGAACAATGGCAAAGGTGCACAGACATTGGCGAGGAACACCTCTAATATAATCTGTATGTATTTTGTTCCAATAAATGGTTACTGTGAAGAAAAAACATTTAGTGGCAATCATTTTTAAAGCCCCTAGTCCTATACTGTTGAGCATTAAATGAAACAAAAGGGCAATTATAAATAAAGAATGGTAAGGATATGGTTACTGCTACATGATCTTTTGAAATGTGCTGCTGAACTACATGCCTTCGTACTGTTCATTCTTCACATGTTGTGGTTGCTCCTACTGTTTGGCTTCACCTTCCATTCTTCTCTTCTGCTGAAAGTACAGGATGTTTCTGACATCCCATTTAATTGCATATATTTACCTAACTACATAGCAAACATCACTTTGTATTTGGTGTCTTTGAGTTCAGTAGTCTTAGGAAATTGACAACCACATAAACACATTTTCAATATGTGCACCACTGGTATCCATGATCATCTGCAGCCTACGTCAGGGACTGCACATAACTATAGCAAGTGTCACATAACTTCGAACAGTGATATTTGGAGATATGTGTTCAGGAGTGAGGCTTTGAAACATCTCCCAGTCCATCAGTTTTTCAACTGGGTCCAAATTCCCCTTCAATCTAACAGGGTCCAGAATGCTAAACATTATTGGTAGGTGACCTGAGTCCAAAATGTCAGTGACAATGACTTCTGACAGTGTGTAATGCATAGGGCATTGTGGAGCTGAAATTTCAAAGTTAGAATTAACAAATAATTTCAAAAGTTTCAAGCCTGAGAGGTTTGAAACTTTACTAATCCAAACAGGCTGTTTTGCATTCAGGTCACCTGCAAGGACAGACTTATTTGCAAAACCTAGGACCTTTGTCATGTCTGTGTCACTCCACAGTCTTTCTGGATACTTATAAACAGGTGCAAGGAACATTTCAGTATTTCCAATTGGTATGCACACCTCTGTTGCCTCTATTGAAAGGAGAGGAGGTAGGTCTGTATAAGTGTGAGGGATACCTTTCACAACTGTAATTGCAGTCCTGCCCTCATGCCCATCTTCATGGTCAGTCTGATAAGTTTCATAGTTTGGGATGTAAAACCTCATATGAGGTTTCAGGTGTCTCTCTGAGAATGGCACCATGCATATATTTAAGTCCTGCAACAGTTTCCTTACCTCATAGGCATGCCTTCTGATGCCATGAGCATTGAATGCTATGATTTTCAGAGGTCTATGAACTCTTGTTGGCATTGTTCTTTTAGTTATGACAGCAACCTTTTCCTTTTCTGTTGCAGCAAATGATAGCTCTGTCACTTGTCCATTTGGTCCTCATTGCGTAACATCAGCATGGACCGCAAAGAAAACACTGCATCCTTTATTGTAGCATCAGTATCTGTTGCTGCAGAAAAGTGTTTACTGGACCATTGCCTAACAATGGCTGCATTTATTCCTTCCAATATTCTGGCTTCCATTCATCATGTCACAATATAAAAATTTATGCCACAAAATGCAAGCTATGGCTTGTTTCTACATTCAAAAGTCTGATTCAATGAAAGTGTCCTAGAAAGTAAAACCAGTCTTTCATGGTTAAAGTCAATAATTTGCCTCATGCTGCCAGGATAGACAATGCAACAATTAAGGCTTAAATTAGTCTGACCTAAATACAATGGAGGTGTCCTTTCACTTTATCTATCATAATACTGTCAAGGGGACTGGACAAGGAGCATGTCAACTAATCTGGCTTGTGTTTGCCTCTCTTTCAGGAAACAAGAGACTCACTCCTGCCTCCCTAGACTTTTTAGAGACACAGGGGCCACACCAGCCAAGTAGGCACCCACATACGAGGGTAATTCCAAAAGTAAGGTCTCCTATGTCTGAAAATATAAAATAAACATTTATTTTCAATTTTGGATACATCAGTTGAATCTTGAACATGTACTCATTTCTCTACATAATCACCATTTCGGTCGATGCATTTTTGTAGGCGCAGTGGCAGTTTTTGTATGCCCACGTCATACCAGTTCACCTCCATGCTGTTCAGGAAACTTCGAACCTCAGCTTTCACCTCATCGTCGTTGTTGAAGCGCTTTCCAGACAAATGTTCTTTCAACTTTGGAAAGAGATGGTAGTCACTGGGCGCCAAGTCCGGACTATAGGGTGGATGGGTGATGATGTTCCATCCAAACTGTTGCAGTTGAGCGACGGTTTGTCGGGCAGCATGGGGGCGAGCGTTATCGTGGAGAATGCTTACGCCCTTGCTCAACATCCCTCTTCTCCGGTTCTGAATCGCCCGCCTGAGTTTTCTCAGTGTCTCACAATATCTCTCAGCGTTTATTGTGGTCCCAGTTTCCATAAAGTCAACCAACAATACCCCGTTTCGATCCCAAAACACAGTTGCCATGACTTTACCGGCAGACTGTGTTTGCTTGAATTTTCGAGGCTTAGGCGAAGAGGAATGCCGCCACTGACGTGATTGTTGTTTTGTCTCAGGTGTGAAGTGGTACGCCCAGGTTTCGTCGCCTGTGACAATTGAATTCAAGAAGTTGTCCTTTTTGTCAGCATAGCGGCAAAGAAATTCACGGGAAGAGTCAACTCTCTGCCGTTTGTGGTCTTCCGTGAGCATTCGTGGGACCCATCTTGCGCACACCTTCCGATAATTCAACTTCTCTGTCAAAACCCAATAAATGGTGGTTCGGGAAACCTCAGGAACCGAAATGCAGATATCTTCGAGTGTGATGCGCCTATCCTGATGCATGACTCGCTCAATCTTCGCGACTGTCTCGTCAGAAATTGACGGTCTCCCAGTTCTTTTTTCGTCGTGTATTGCAGTACGACCAGATTCAAACTCCCTACACCACTTGCGGACGTTCTTTATGTCCATGCACGACTCGCCATATACTTCCACCAATTGACGATGAATTTCAATTGGTTTAGTCCCTTTTGCGTTCAAAAACAGAATAAATGCGCGAATCTCACACTTCGCGGTTTTAGTAATCGGGAGCTCCATTTCTAACGGCAACCATGCCAAGACTGAGCGTCCTAGCTACATGCGCGCATGCTTGGTGGCATTGGGGGGAGTGGGGGAAGCAACGAATGCAACAGGGTTGCCAACAGCCGCACGAAAAATTACCCAGCGCTTTGGAGACCTTACTTTTGGAATCAGCTATGTATAAGTCTCCTTTGGAATATATACAGCAATCCCATCATTTTTTCCATGTTTCAAAAGCACCACTGAAGTAATTTTCTTTAATGTTGTCGAGTATCGCTTGTGATTCCCTTTGGATGTGAAACACTGTATAAAAGTGTTGTTTTTCTGTTTCATTTTCAATTTGGGAAACAAAATGAAATCAGAGGGGGCTAAGTGCAGCAAGTATGGGGGATGAGGAACAATAACCATGTTGCTGTTAGTCACAAACTCTGTGGTTTTCAGGGATGTGTGGGTAGGCATATTGTTGTGACGGAGCAGTGTGGTGCATGTTCATATTTTCTGTTAAGATCGTCTGAGAAACTCCATAACTGATCCCAATGTTCTGCGAGCTCATGGATTGTTTTGGTGATGGTCTTCATTGATGAGTTCTCAAATTTTTTCAAGATTTTCTGTCGTTTTGCTGGTGCTTGGTTGCCCTGAACATTTGTCATCTTCAACTGACACTCCACTGGCCTTGAAACGTGAATGCCATTCAAAAACCGCTATCCAGCTGAAGAATGTTCTCCAAAAGCCTCACAAAACATTTCAAGGATTTGGGTAGCAGATTTAAAAAGCTTCACACAAAACTTAATGCAGACACATTGCTCGACTTTACATCCATTGCAGACAAAACAAAACACAAACTTGAAAAAGCACTTGTGTAAAAACAATGCGTGTTCACATCGCAGTGTCAAGTGGTAGACTGACTGCAATAGGTTTGCAGAAGTGTGATCTTGGCCTCCCCTTTCATTGTCTTTCACTGAGGCAGTCACACCAGTATCAGTCCAGGAACTTTCTGATAACATAAAACCTGGTTGAAAGACCAGAAGAGGATAGTATTATCTCAGTGTGGGTCTCAGCTAAGAGGCAGTGGGGTTTGGGTGTGTGAATAGATGTGCAGCAGAGTATGTGGGGAACTGATAAGTTATTTCAGTGCAGGCAGACAGAAGATGCAGAAGAGGACAATGTAGTGGTATTACAGTGAAACAGTAATGTACAAAGAAAAACTGATAACAAGATCATATGAGGCTACTGACAGTGTCACAACAACTGTTCCAAGTGATGAAGTTGCAATATTCAGTTTCATTTCCACTTCCGAATGGTTTCTGAATTATTGTCCCATTCATGCTCACCACTGGAAGCATTTCACCATCAGCTATTTGAATTTTAAGATGCATTATGACTTTGAACTTTGCTCCTTATATCCTTTCACATATATTCTAGCAATTCAGGCATAGAAAAAAAAAACTGATGAAAGGAATTTCTATTTTCCCACACAAATTTTTCTTAGTTTCATGCAAATTAATTCATACCTGACAGGAATGAGACTGGAAATGGAAAGAATAGGAATGGGTTAATCTGTCAGGTAATGAAAACTACTTTCAGATAACTCTTCTAGATCACCAACACTTCTGAAAATGTGGTTTGCAGTATACCAGATGAAAACAAAAGTCTCTAACAACTAAACAAAAATTATGAAAATTACTGTAACAGCTGCAAAGACAATACCTCCATTAGTGCAAAATATTCTTTGGTTATTCTTCCCGAGAACATTTTCCGTGCCATAATAAATGCTGCCAAACACTCCACAAGCATTTCAGAAGCCAAGGAATTCAGTGTTGGAAGCTCCTCCAGTAACTGACTGTTCAGTGCTTCATAATTGCTCTTTGTAGCCAGTAACTCTTCTTGGATCTGAAAAGGGAATTAGCACACAAGTCTGATTGACATTTTTGACACTGTTCATTATCCCAGTTCTTGAAGCCGTAACATTTAGGAAACTGGGTCTATTTCATTCTTCAGGTGACAGAATAACATAAGATATTTTACTGCATTATGTCCTTTGGCAGAGATAGTCTCAAATCCTGGACCAGGGCTGTAGGAAAAGAATGGACTGAAAAATATTTTTCATTTAGTGTCATTAGTTTTTCATACAAAAGTCAGTATTCAAAATTATATCAACACATAAAAAAGATGAAGGAACTGCTGTTGTTTATATTACACATTTGACAAAATGACTTACCAATCTGTTTTCCTTGTTCTTCTCAGCTTTGGCAAAACATCCATCATAATCCAACAGTTTATCATGACGTTTCTGCACTAAAATTGCTGGGCCCTCAAATAATTCCACCAAAGTATGTAATGGAACCAAAACTCTCTGCTCCACAATCTTCTTCTGATGTGGTGGAAGAAATTGAACATAACAGTACGTTTAAAACTTGAAAATAATATAGCAAGTTTAGTACAGTGCTTTTCCTAATAATATGTTCTCCAATACACTTACACTTGGTTCTCAGTTTTGGGCTCCAAGTTCAAAAAATGTACTGGAAGAGGTAAGACTACCGACAAGTTGGTCAGTATGAATACTAGATGAAAAAAGTGCTGCCTACAATGACTATACTAAGGCCACAGAAAAATGTTTCATGGATCAGTTCCCTCCAAACCTCAAGCAATTACATTTCTCCCCTGAGTGTACTCCCTTATATTGCCACCCAGTTGTCTAGCCATTCTGTTGACACAAATGGTGGTAGTGATAACCATATGACACTCTTCAGCTCATTATCTCAGGCCAAAGGATGCTTGACTGGAATACTGAAGAAGGCAGAGGAGGAAGCCTTGGACACCATGATCCCCACATTTCTGTGATTTTCTTTACAGCATAATATATTAAAATCCAGGAAAATAGCATACAAATCCATATTTCTTTCAACTGACTACATGAAAGCAAAAGTTCAATGGTCACAGCACACCTCATTACATAATAGTTCTTCAGGCTGCTTCATTTGGGAAAACAAAATGAAGACATAAAATGGTGCACTGGTATGAATTACTAAATTATGAGAATGAAGCCAAGGCCTACACAGTTATATCACTGGTACCCACAGCCAGATCAGGATACCACATAAATAAAATTCATATTCTGACTGGAATTAGAAATTATTTAACAATTCCATGTCAAATATCAAGGTGTACCATCAAACAAAATGCAAGGAAGAACAGTATGTCAGAAGAAATCTGGATGCAGGTACTATTCCGCACACATTTGGAGAGGTAACAACTGAGCTTAGTATTCTAATCACTCATCTAAATTGTTATACATATATGATTACAGAGTTACTCTCCAGACTATTCAGATAACTGAGGACTGTATGATTTGAATTTCTCATAGTGGTCGTTATGAAAGCAGCAGCCCTGAAGACTGAGCAGGCATGTTCCTCCAAGAAACTGGTTGACTCTCATTGGACTACATAGCATTATATCCCAGCGGATGGAACTTTTTGTGATGAGAGTCTTTCTCTAATGTTCATGTTATGACTGATTAGAAATCATTTTACATATGAGTAGAAGAAACACTATTTTATTTATACAAGCTGAACATAACTCACAAATTCCACCCAGAATCGTCTGCAGATAAGTTGTTGGAGTTTGTGATAATCTTCTGCTTCTGAATTACTTTCCTGATAGAAAGGAACGATTGATGCTCCAATGTTAAGCTGATAAGTAATTGTTTCATGCATCCCACAAAGAAATATTTCTACATCCTTTAGGAAACTTCGGACAGTCTTCTCCATGGTGTGAAATATGAATTCATGTTCATCAAACACAGGATCTTTTGTCTACAAACAAAATGAAAGAAACCGACATTTATGTGCATGATACAGAGATATGTTATTACAGCAATATCTCGCATAGTCCGGGTAATTGGTTCTGCCAATATCCCTGACTGTGTGAAATTGGACCAATCGAGGAACTAAATACATACAAAAAATGATAACTGGTTCCAAAAAAATATCCGTTTTTCAATAAATACAACACGATTAATAAATTCAAATGTCTTTATTAGAAATAATTTTAAAAAATTAATGTTTTTCACAATTCATTTTTTATTCTCTAAAAATTCCCATATTGATGTCTGCACATTTTCTTCTTTGGCCTTTTCTCTTCATACATTTCTTTGTAGCAACGAATTGCATTGTTTATCGTTCGGCGAATTGTAAGGCTACATTAAATATTGGGATCAACTTCCATAATGTGCTCTGACAAGGTTTCAACCATTCCAATAATTTTTTATAGTTGTTCAGCTGTTAATTCTCGTGCTGGCACTTCAACACAGTTGTCGCTGTCTAAGTTGTACTCCCGTTCTTCATAAGCCCTTTGTTCATCTATGTAAGTAAGTGTTTCATTATCTAGTTCATTAGTGTTCAATTTGATGCACTCAATTACGTTCACAGAATCAAACCCGCTGAAACCAAGTTGCTGTCAAATTTCCTCTATGTTATTAGTGACTTCAGCAAAACGAGTTTCAAAACCAATGAAATAATTTGCACAATGTGGTATAATATGTTTCCATACTGCCCTCATATTGCTTGCCGTTAAATCATGCCATGCTTTGCCTATATTTTCGATAACGTTTCTGATGTTGTAGCTCTTCCAAAATTCCGTTACAGTAGTGCTCTCCCCACCTCCTTCAGCGATAGCTGTCAGAGCTCAAGAACGAACAACCCGGGCATAGGTACATACATATACAATGGGGAACCCCAGAAAAAAATTGAAATATGTATCATATCGCATAACTATAAAACCACATAAAAATAAACCGCACAAAAAGAGACTTGACTATATAAAAGGAAAAAACCGATCATTTATGTATTAAAAATAATTTTGTGTACTAATTTTTATAATTTACTTTCATTTTGCTCAATTAAAATTTAGTTTGTTATGAAATTTTCAAACCGGACTATAGTGAATCCAGACTGATTGAAGCCGGAGTATGCGAGGTATTGCTGTATTATTATTATTATTATTATTATTATTATTATTATTATTACTATTATTATTATTTAATTGAATTATTTTTATTAATTTCGTTATTATTATTATTATTATTA